TGGAGGCCAGGATGGCTAAGCTTCGTTTCTCCTACTTTGGACATATTGTCCGGAGGAAACAGTCGTTGGAGAAGGATGTCATGCTTGGTAGGGTGTAGGGTCAGAGAAAAAGAGGAAGACCCCCCCCAACGAGATGGATCAGCCAGGTGGCATCATTGATGGACTCAAGTGTGGCAGCGGTAATGAGGTTGGCCCACGATCGGACATTGTTTCGTTCTGCTGTGCATGGGGTCACTGTGAGTCGGTTCCGACTCGATGGCATCTGACAACTACAACAACGAGCACAATGAAGTGTTCCGGAATACTCATACTTCACAATGTTATACGTAGCTTGTCATGATCCACACAATCAAAAACCTTTGCTTAGTCAATAAAGCACAAGTAAAAATCTTTCTTTGCTTTCAGCCAAGATCTACTGGACATCAGCAGGGATATTCCTTGTTCCACATCCTTTTCTGAATCCGGCTTGAACCTCTGGAAATTCTCTGTCAATGTATGGTTGCAGCCGATTCTGTATTACCTTTAGTAAAACTTTATTTACTCACATAGGAAATCAAAGATATTATCCAATGATTTCCGCATTCTGTTGGATCACCTCTCTTTGGAATGGGCACAAATACGGATCTCTTCCAATCAGTCTTCCAAATTTCTTGGCAGAGATGAATGAGTGCTTCCAGTGCCGCCTCACTTTCTTGAAAGATTTCAATTTTAATTCCATCAACTTCTGGTGCCTTGTTCTTTGCCAATTACTTCAATGCACCTTGGACTTCTTCCTTCAGCATCATATTCCTAGCAACTCTTTTATTAAGTACTTGGCTGGTGGGTTTAAACTGCCTACCTTTCAGTTAGCACTCCAGTACTTATTCTACAACAGTGGTGGGAAATGTCGGGCTCACAGGCCATATAAGGCCCATGAAATCATTTGGTCTGGCCCTGGCAAGGCAACCGCAGTTTCAGACATCACACTGTTGTTGTTATGTGTCACTGAGTTGGTTCCGACCCATAGTGACCCTGTATAGGGTTTCTGAGGAGCGGCTGGTGAGCTTGGACCACTGACCTTGCAGCTCAAACCAACTTTACAATCTAGGGCATTAACCCACAGCGCCACATCATTGGGGTGAGTTAAATGTTTGAACAAATATGTTGTTATTGTTAACTGCCATCAAGTCAGTTTTGACTCATAGCAACCCTATATAGGGTTTCCAAGGAGCAGCTGGTGAGCTTGAACTGCTGACCTTGTAATTCAAACTGACTTTACAGTCCAATGCATTAACCCACAGCACAACACCAAACTCATTTTTAAGTTGATAATTTTGTAAGGCCTGCGAATGATGTTATTAATTTTGACAGACAAAAGGTTCTCCAGCCATTCTAAAACATCCCACAACCCTTTTGTTGTTGTTAAATGCCATCAAGTTAATTCCGACTCATAGTGACCCTATATAGGGTTTCCAAAGGGCAGCTGGTGGGTTTGAACTACTGACTTTTTGGTTCTGAGTCCAGTGCTTATCTTACAGTGCCACACATTTTAGGTACTGAAAAAGAACACTCTTCCCCGAGAGAGGGAGGAGGAAGAACAAGATAAACAAGCTCAATAATGGTCTTGTGTCAGGTGACTTTTGTTGAGTCCTGATCTGGACCTGGGGACAGGTGACCTCATGATAGCATGTAATCCACCAGCAAGTGTTCACTGTACAGGCGAGATGAGGAGGAACTACAAAAACCCAGTCCAGGTCCAATGGTAGAGGCTAAAGAGGCCCTCCTTCATTTTGGAGGCCAGAAAACTAGGTAAGTTGAGATCTTTGGTAGGAGAGACCAGAGTAACCATCAACCTGGGAGAGAAGACCCTTCAAAATCATTCTCTCTTTTAGGTACAGTTGGGAAGGGGTACAGGATAGAGACCCTACTAAACACTCATGGGCTCCAGGAAGCTTTCTCTGTCTCTCCTCACCTTTGGGCTAGGCACCTTCTTCGATGCTGCATACATCACTGCACCTAGTGGCTAAATCACTAGACTGTAAACTCCTCAAGGGCAGGACCCTGTCTGTTTCATTCACCACTGTGTATCTAGTGCCCAGAACAGCTGGCTGAATGAATGGGGAGATCCTCTACATGCTTACCAGAATGGTATTCAAATTCTCTGCCTGGCCTTAATCCTATAAGATCAAAAGCATCGCACATATTTGCAACCTTATTTAATCATGAAGCATTTATTCAATGTCTGTTGAAAGCCAGACTCTGAACTAGAGGATGAAAATATGAAAAAGACAGTACTGCCTTAAAGGAGCTTATCCCTCACAACACTCTGATACTCAAAACTATCAATAATGAAAGGCAAAGAGAAGGTGGAAAACTATTTCAAAGCAGACCAGAGACACAGGATTATTACTGAACACAATGTATAATTCTTGATTGTCTCCTGAATGACAAAAAAGGCAAGACTCAAAGAACCATGTTTGGAACAACTGGGGAGATTTTAACATGGACAGTACATTGGATAATAGAACTTCATCAATACTACACTTCCTAAAAGCGATAATTTATTACAATTATATAGGAGAATGCCCTTGTTCTTAGGAGATGCACTGCTATTGCTGTTGAGTGATACTCAGTTCCAACTCAGAGTGACTCTGTAGAGGGTTTCTGAGGCTACAAATCTTTGTGGGAGCAAAAAGCCTCATCTTTCTCTCAAGGAGCGGCTGATGGGTGCTAACTACTGAGCTTGGGGTTTGTAGTCCAGTGTTTATCCTAGAGCTACTGTGCTCCCTAGGAAACATATGAAACTATTATCATTTAAAGTACCAAGGTATCTGTAATTATCTCTCAAATAATTCAGGGGGCAGAAAAGCAAAATTTGAGGGAGCTTCAAAAACTTCATGGAAAATTAGCATTATCTTTTAATTCCATTTTCCACAAACTTTCTGAAGGCCCCTAATAAAGCAAAAGACAAAGGGCATTTTGATGGTCAGTGTATCATCATCATCATCATTATTTTTTTTCCATATGAGTAAAAGGAGCTCTGGTTGCATAGTGATTACGAGTTGGGCTGCTAACCTCAAGGTCAGCAGTTCAAAACTACCAGTCAGTGGTTCCATGGGAGAAAAATGAGGATTTCTGCTCCCATAAAGATTTACAGCCTTGGAAACCCTATACAGGGTTGCTATGGGTCGGAACAGACTCAACAGCATTTAACAACAACAACAACAAAGATTTATTATAGGAAAGATACTTGCAAGAGGATATGGGGAGGAACCCCCATCACCCCATGTTTGGGTTTAAAAACGTTTTGTTAAGGAAAAGGTATCATGTTTATTAATAGGGATAGGTAGGGATTTCTGGAAAAATGACCATTTAGGAGGGGCCATGCTACTTGGGTTTCTGGGCAGCATTCCTTCAAGATGGACCCCACTGCAAAAGCTTCTGGTGGTGTTGTTAGGAGCCACTGAGTTGTCTCCGACTCACAGCGACCCTATGCACAACAGAGTGGATAAGTATAGTGAAAGGACACAACTCTGGAGCACACCTTTCCTGATTTTAAACCATTCAGTATCTCCTTGCTCTGTTTGAACGACTGCCTCTTGGTCTATGTACAGGTTCACTAAGAACACCATTGAGTGCTCTGGAATATCCATTCCTCACAATGTTATCCATAGCTTGGCATGATCTACAGGTGAAAGCCTTTGCATAGTCAATAAAGCACAAGTAAATACCTTGCTGGTATTCTCTGCTTTCAGCCAAGATCCACTGGCATCAGCAATGACATCCCTTGTTCCATATCATCTTTTGAAACTGGCTTGAAGGCTTCCAATCGGTGTTTGAATGTCTAGAAAAATAGTGCCTTGTTTGCTGGCTTCTTCTCTGCAGTCCAGGCTGCCTTGGGATTGACTGGGGCCGTTGCTTCCGAATATTCTATCATGACTCTGCCCCAAATTATCAAAGGGCAAAAAAGAAAACTGCTGTCTCCAGTGGTGGCTGGGCAGTGACGTTTTCCGCCCAGTGCATTGTTCTTGTAACTTTTAAGGTTTGCATATTTCAAAATAAAAAGGGGTATATACTTCTTCTGAAATTTAACAATTAGTGGGAAGGCAATTCGCACTATACTCATTCACACGTTTCTCCAGTTAACCCTTTTGAGGGTCATATGGCAAGGTTAAAACTCTTCATAGGCCCTCTGTCTTTTGTGTCCTCATGACTCTGCCACACTGTATTCCTGGTGCTGAGTAAAGAAAATCTACACGGTCCTGCAAAGTCGGCTTGGCAGTTCAAACTCACCAGCCACACCTCAGAAACCCTATACAGGGCAGCTATGGGTTGGAACTGACTCGAAGGCACTTAACAACAACAACCCTGAGAAGTGGTTATTACAATTCCAATTTTATATACCAGAAAATTGAGTTTTAGCCAGAGTCAACATAACCAGTAAGTGCGTGCAGCTAATCCTGGAACCCAGACCTTAAGTATGGGCTCTGGAGCTGGACTAATGAGCTTGAATCCAGACTCCCAGACAACCTGAGGCTCAATCTCCTATCTGTAAAATGGGGAGTATAAAAGGCAAAATCGCCAGTATTTTAGCTCTTGCCAAGTACTCAAGTACTGTTGTTGTTGTCAAGTGCCATCGAGTCGCTTCCGACCCATGAGGACTCTGTATAGGGTTTCCAAGGAGCAGCTGGTGAGCTTGAACCGCCAACCTTGTGGTTCAAGCAGATTTTGCAGTCCTGCGCATTAACCCACAGCGCTACACCAGGACTCCACACAAAGCACTGCGCTCGATGCTTTTCATGGATTCTTTCTTTCAAAGCTCACATTCCACTGTCACGACAACCTTGTATGAGACAGGTCCTATCGCTATCTCCATTTCACAGAAGGGCAAACAGGCTTTGTCACAAAGTTAGAAAGCGGCCTAGCAGTTTCCCTGGAATTCTCCGAGGGTTGAGTGAAAGACGAGGTGTGTCCTGCACTTAACACCTGGCAGGCGTGTCATGTGCTCGGACACCTCTAGCTTCAAGTTCTATCGCTCCACTAGCGGTGTCTGCTCCGCGCGGGGGTCTACCCCGCAGCGGAGATCCCACTGTCAAGTCCTAAAACCACCAGTCGCAAACTCAGACCCGCAGCTGTTTGCAGTTACTATAGAAATCCCATCCCAACACTATACGAAGCACGCCTACAGGCGCTTGCGCAAGCGCACGGGGCGACCAAGCCTCAGGGAAGTGAGCGCCTAACCTGCCGAGAAGCGCCAAAGAGAATTTAGGCCGAGACTTCCGGCCTTTTCTTCTTCAGAAACTCGACGCCGTCCTTCCCCCGCCCAGCCGGGGCTCCGTTTCCTTGTACCTGTTGGTAAGAGAATCGCTCTTGCTCCTCAGCCTCGTCGTCCTCCATCGCGGCGAACCGGGCCGGCAGAAAGAGGCGGAGGCCGGCCTGGGCCAGTCGGATTTTCCCGCCGCGGCTACGGGCCGCGCGAGAAGACAAAGCGCGAAGTTGCTTGCTGCGCGCGCCCTCAGACGGCGGCTCTAGGAAAGGCCATAGCATGCGGCTCCACGAGGGTGACTGGGCCCTTCCCAAGCCCTTTAGGGGCGGAGGCCGTGACTGCCCAGTTCACTCTGCCTGCCACAGTGATGGACAGGTGCAGAGTTTATTATGATGCGTAGCACACAAGTTACAACTAGTAATGAAATTCTATCTATTGTAAATTCCATACTCTGAAACTTAAGAGTGACATGCAAAATCCACTGTTTTGTAATCTTAGCACCAACAATAGTGTCACAAAATCTGAATAAATGATTATTAATCCCATTCATCTCATCACCATTGACAAAGAAGCATAGCCCTGACATGAATATTCATTAATGTCCCTTAATAAAACACCCGTTGCTAACGAGTTGATTCTGACTCAGTGACCCTAGAACGAAGCTGCATTGCCCGGTCTTGCACCATCCTCACAATCGTTGCTGTTTGAGCCCTTTCATTAAGGGTCTTGCCCTCTAACAAGCATGATGTCCTCCTCCAGGGACTGGCCCAAACAAATAACATGTCCTAAGTACAGGAGATGAAGTCTCCCTATGTTGGCTTCTAGAGAGCATCCTGGCTGTATGTACTTCTTCCAAGACAGGTTTGCTCATTCTGGCAGTATATGCAATATTCTTCATCAACACTATAGTTCAAATTTATCAATTTTTCTTTGGTCTTCCTTATTCATTATCCAGAAGCCCTGGTGTGGTGTAGGATACGCATTGGACTACTAACTGTAAGGTCAGTGGTTCAAACCCACCAACTGCTATTTGGAACCCCTATACAGGATGGATATGAGTTGGAACTGACTAGATAGCACTTAACAACATTCATTGTATAGTTATCACATGCATATGAAACAATTGAGAATACCATGGCTTAGGTCATGTGTACCTTAGACCTCACGGTAACGTCTTTGCTTTTTGACATTTTTTACATCCTTTGCAGCAGATTTGCCCAATGCAGTATGACATTTGATTTCTTGACTGCTGCTTCCATGGACATTGATTGTGGATCCAAGTAAAATGAAATACCGGACAACATATATTCTGTTTATCATGATGTTATTTGCTGGTCCAGATACAAAGATTTTTTTATTTTATTTTTTTATGTTGAGGTATAATCCCTACTGAAGGCTGTGTTCTTTATTCTTCATCAGTAAGTACTTCAAGTCACCTTCACTTTCAGCAAGCAAGATCATGTCATCTGCATATTGAAGATTATTAAGGATTCTTTCTCCAATCCAGATGCCATATTCTTCTTCATATAGTTCAGCTCTTTGAAGTACTTGCTCAACATATAGATTGAATCGGTGTGATGAAAGCATGCAACCCTGATGCCTACCTTTCCTGATTTTGAACCCAATGCCATTGAGGCACTTTTGACTCAGAGTGACCCCACAGGGCAAAGTCCCACTGCCCCATAGGGTTTCTAAGGCTCTCTTTACAGAAGTAGACTGCTATAGCTTTTTCCTGCAGAGCAGTTCATGGGTTCCAACTGGCAGGCAAGCGCTTAACCACAATGCCACATGCTCCCACTTTACTGCTTAGGAGTAAAGTGAAATCGTGAAATCCAACTTTGGATCTACACTCCTTTTTGAACTGTCTTAAGTACCTTTACAACTTTAGAACGTCACTTATTTGGAACTTTACTCAATGACATGATTGAGCTCTCTGTTGAATCAATAATAGTTACTGGAGAAATATTTCCTCAGTCTTTTTTATGTTATTCACAATGTAAAAGCTACTGACCTAATACACTTTGAGGCTAAACTGCAATATTTTGTCATCACTTTTTGAGTAGGCAATCAACAATAAATCAAGGCTAATTTGAGGCCATTACCCATTTTGATGGGAGCTCTGGTAGCGTAGTGGTTATGAATTGGGCTGCGAACCTTAGGGTCAGCGGTTCGAAACTACCAGCCGCTCCGCGGGAGAAAGATGAGGCTTTCTACTCCCGTAAAGATTTACACCCTTGGAAACCCTGTACAGGGTCGCTATGGGTCGGAACCGACTCGATGGCACTTAACAGCAACAGCAACAGCAACCCATTTTGATGAGGTCAATACTCTTACCATGGCTGACTTCAAACTCAGAATTGGGAAGAGATGTGGCATACTATAACCACCACACACATAGAACAGCTGTAAATAATATCAGAACACAAATAATGGTAAACTGTAATAACATAATTAAGAATTGATGAGTATAATTTATCTAAGTATATTGTGTGGATCATGACAAGCTGTGGACAATATTGCGAAGTATGGGTATTCCGGAACACTTAATTGTGCTCATGAGGAATCTGCACCTGGACCAAGAAGCAGTTGTTTGAACAGAACATGGGAACACTGGATGGTTTAAAATTAAGGAAGGAGTGCTACAGGGTTGTATTCTTTCATCATACTTATTCAACCTGTATGCCGAGTAAATAATCCGAGAAGCTGGATTATATGAAGTAAAACGTATCTGGATTGGAGGAAGACTCATATGATACAACCTTGCTTACTGAAAGTGAAAAGGACTTAAAATTTACTGATGAAGATCAAAAAGCACAGCCTTCGGTATGGATTACATCTCAATGTAAAGAAAACAAAAATCCTAACCACTGAACCAATAAACATCATTCTTAATGGAGAAAAGATTGACGTTGTCAAGGACTTCATTCTTTTTGGATCAACTATCAACACACATGGAAACAGCAGTCAAGAAATCAAATGACGTATTGCACTATCTCCTGCACAAGACCTTTTTAAAGTACTGAAAAGCAAAGATGTCAGCTTGAGGACAAAGGTGCGCCTGACCCAAGCCATGGTGTTTTCAATAACCTAATATGTATGTGAAAGTAGGACAGTAAATAAGGAAGAGTGTAGAAGAATTGATGCTTTTGAGTTATGGTATTAGAGGAGAATATTGAAAGTGCCATGGGCTGCCCATAGAACCAACACATCTGTGTTGGAAGAAGTGCAACCAGAGTGCTCCTTGGAGGCCAAAATGGCCAAACTTCATCTCTCCTACTTTGGACATATTGTCAGGAGAGACCAGTCGCTGGAGAAGGATATCATGTTTGGTCAGAGATAAAGAGGAAGACCCCCAGAGAGATGGATTGGCCAAGTGTCAGCATCTATGGGCTCAAGTGTGGCAACAATAGTGAGGTTGGCCCAGGATCAGGCAGTGTTTCGTTCTGCAGTGCATGAGGTCACTATGAATTGGCATCAACTCGATGGCACCTAACAACAACAACAACATGTTTTAAAAACAGCTGTGTTAGATGTTTCAAATTTCCTGAAAATTTATAAATCAATTCTAGCCCATAGGAGCTGGCTCTAGCATACCACTAGCCTGGAATATAGCAAATGCTCATTAAATTAATTTAAAATTGAGAAAACACGCTGGATTGTAATTAAAAACCGGTTGCCCCAGAGTCAGTTCTGACTCTTGGCAATCTATGTGTATCACAGCAGAGTTGTGATCCATAGGGGTTTTTTGTTTTAACCTTTGATTGTGAGTTGTGTGGTTTGCATACAAAATCATCAATTTTACATTCAGCAAACCATATACTTTGTTTCATTTCAATGATCACAATCCCCTCCATGCAACAACAGTTATCCCACTTCCTCCCTATGGTTCCAATTTCCATTCCACCCATCTTTCTCTGTCTTCTCAAATTCGTATTTAAGTAAATGTTACCGTTTTGATTTCGAATGACTGACCATTCCATGGTGAGCATAACTTACTAGTGTTGTTATTTCCCCTGTATACCTATCTACTACTTGGCTGAAAATTCGGTCACGAGGTTGAGTTCCATTCTAGACCTGAGGGTAGTTGAGGACTTTAGTCTTGGGTTCCTGCAGTGTCTTTCTAACCAGTAAGCTCAATATTTTTTTTATAATTTTGAGTTTTGTTCCACATTTTTTCCCATTCTAGCTGGGACTTTCTAATGTGATCCCTCTCAGAGCAGTTGGTAGTAGTGTATGGGCATCATCTAGCTCTTCTAGTCTTAGAGTTATAAAGACTGATGTTCATATGTTCCATTTGTCTGTTGGATTAATTGATTCCAAGCATCTTCGATTCTCATCATTCTTCTTTCTTCTGCACATGGAGAGACCAATAGTTGTATCTTCTTGTTGTTGTTAGGTGCCATCGAGTTGGTACCGACTCATAGTGACCCTATGCACAACAGAACGACACTGCCAGGTCCTGGGCTAACCTCATAATTGTTACATGCTTGAGCCCATTGATGCTGCCACTTTGCCAATCCATTTCACTGGGGGTCTTCCTCTTTTTCTCTGACCCTCCACCTTACCAAATGTGTTAACCCTCTTCAGCAACTGGGCCCTCCTGACAATATGTCTGAAGTATGAAAGATGAAGTTTGGCCATCTTGGCCTCCAAGGAGCATTCTGGCTGCACTTAAATGACTTTTGATGAGCTTTTAAGGCCCCAGATGTTACTCATCATAGAAGGATGTAGAACATTGTCTTTGTAGACTGTGTTATGTCAATTGACCTTGGAGTCTCCTGAGACTATGATCCTGAACCCTAGGCCCAGCAACTCATTGCCTTAAGATGCTTGATAATATCTAAGAAGTATTCATCATTTTGCCTGCTGTATGCTCTTCCACATGGAGTCCTGGTATGACACTATAGAATAAGTACTGGACTGCAAAGTCGGTTTGAACTGCAAAGCCAGGAGTTCACACCCACCAGCTGTTCCTAGAAAACCTTACACAGGGTCACTATGAGTTGGAACTGACTTCACGACACTCAGCAACAACAATGCTCCATCACATTCATAGTTGTGTTTGCAGGAAAGGCAAATACCCATGTACTGATATCCTCTTTCAAATGCATATATTTGTGAGTATGCTCCC